ATACTATCCCCACTCTCAACATACTATTCTGCAATGTATAGTTCCATCAAAGCAGGCGTCTTCGTAAGTGCCACCCGCCATGTGTCGCCTTATTGTGTCGGTCGCTGACATAACGCTTTATTGTTGTCCAGAAATGCCACCACAGGTTGTATTCGGGCGCGTTTCTGTGACGACAAACGCGCCGGTCGCCAGTGCGTAAGTGCAGTGGATTGGACAGAGAAGGTCCTTTGTGTTGGTATGTCTAATGGCCATCAGTAAGAAGCGTATGAATAAGAGAATTAACTGACTTTTTGATATGCGCTTCAGATTCGAGTTGGCGCGTGGAATGAAAGCACAACGGACCAGCGAATCCCCGCTCGTTGATCGGGCTCGACTGTCGACGAAAGGCTTCAAGTTGCGTCGCTCAAAACCCGCTGGCAACCTGGCGCAAATTCGCGAAGCATGTGCGCTACGCCGACGCAGAGTCTGAATACGCCTCTCCTCCACCCCCACGCGCGAAACGCGAGGTTGACAACTGGTATACATACCCCTTCGAAACCTCCTTCGCTAGCGTTCAAGCCAAGCCACTGTACCCCGCTGCCGATTCGTATCCGGCCCTCGATGTGGACAATCTTTTCTCGATGGATTCCGAATATGACTGGAATGCGCCTGCAATGAAAGCCGAATCCCCAGCTCCATATCTCAATGGCTGGTCATCGTGGGAGTCGACATCCGTGTCCATGAATTGGTCGATGCCTCTGGATCACAACCTCGCGACGTTCATGCCCACCATGCCATCCTCTACGTCTGCCTCTCTCCCCAGTGTCTCGTACACGACACAGAGCCTCGAGGAGAGGGTCTTCAACATCACGTTCAACGAGATGTATCCTTCCCTCGCTTCCGGGTTCCCATCCACTGCGAGCTCGTATTTTCCATCTTCCAATGTCTCCGAATCCTCCGATTTTGGGTATCTCAATGGGTTTTAGTCGTTCTACTCTTGGTGCTGTTATATCTATTTCCTCGTGATATCTGTTGTACTTTGTCGGATTCTTATAACGAACACATCAATCATTATTAGTCGTCAACGACAGGAAAAGTCTGCAGTACTTAGCTGTCTGATTTAAGTCATTCAACCTCATTCATATTACAAGTACATTGATTCAAATTTTCCCATATCATATAGATACACCACTATTTCTTGGCTTCCTCACTCTTCTTCTCCTTCGCCGGTTTCTCCTCCGGTGACGGACTAGCCTCCCTCTCGTCATTCTCTGCCTCTTTCTCATCTTTAGCCTCTCCGCCGAGGCCCTTGAGTAAATCCCCGGCATCGTCACCGTCCATGCCTAATTCTGCGATCAAGTCTCGCAACTCATCCCCAGTTATCTTGAGCCCTTGCAACCCGAATCCAGAAAGCTCATCTCCAAGGTCGAGTTCGCCTTCTCTCTTATTGACAGGTATAGGCTTCTTGTCCGCGAGTGATGATGAAGTAGGCTGTGCCTTGACCTTGTCTCGCAGGCGCTCTGGAGTCATATCCAGAGGCATAGCTGCACCTGGTACGCCGATGGGTTGTACTGGTGGCGCGATGTGTTCGTCAACATCCGGGTTCCAAGATTCCTTCAATCTCAGAAACACATCAAGTTCATCGTACTCGACAGAGTCTTCGCTAACAAAGGATGAGCGCCAGAGGACGGATTCACGCAAAAGGCGTACAACTCGGCAAATGTCTATGATCAGTGCGATTATTGACGACGTCGTACAAACAGGAATGAACGACGTACGCCGGGAAACTTGCCGCCAACAAGAATGCCAGGTAACTGTTGCTTGTCTAGCAGAAATCTGAGCAGATGACGCAGCTTCAAAGTAGAAGAAATACCCAATGGGGCCTTTCTTTTCCAAAGACGCTTTGCCGCCTCGTCCGAGGCGAGATCATAGGATGTAAATGGATCTTCTTGACCTGTAGAACGCGTAGGAGATACTCTGTACAGCACCGTTACCCTATCATCAGAACATGGAAATATAACATACCTTGCCTTTGTCTAAGCGCAGGCTGCGAGGCAATAGTGGTCAAGAACAACTGGATAGGCGGGGAAGGCATGATGGTCAGTAGCAGAATGCGAGCCACGTGCTTTGATATCATCACAGATTTGATCGACCCAATTTGATTTCATTCCTTCATGGCGAATTCGCAAGAACAGAGCTCCGTGCTCATCGTCTGTCTAGGTATGGTCGCCTAGCCTACACGGAGACTATAGAGCTGACAGATTATAGGGAACATATGTCGTTCGCCCATGGGGGAGGCCGTCCTCAGCCACGTCGCCAAGGCTCGCGGACACGATATAACTGTTGACAGCTGTGGAACAGGCGCGTACCATACTGGCGAGGATCCAGATGACCGGTAAGTCTTGCTGTATGTCTTCTATCCACAGATTAATCTGTTACTCTCAGAACTGTCTCGACATGCATGAAAGTAAGCATTGACACGACGAATACAGCAAGTCTCAACAGGCTCATTCGTGGCTCGTTCAGCACAAAGTCCCCATATCCCACGCTGCTCGCAAAGTCCAGAAGTCTGACTTCACGGATTTCACGCATATTCTGGCTGCCGACCAGAACAACCTACGCGACCTACAGCGGATGGCGCCTAGTAATGCGACTGCTGAAATCAAGCTGTGGGGTGAATATCATGATAACAAGCCTATTCAAGATCCGTATTACGGCGGAATAGTATGCGAACCCCCTTTTTTGTTTGCGTATCCTGACACTGCATAGAATGGCTTCGAACGCGTGTACCAACAATGTGTCAAGCTATCACACGCGTTCCTTGACGATGTTTTCGGACCACAGTCGGCTGATCAATTCGAGGCGTAATTATTTGACTAGACATCACACTTCTTCGTTATTAGATCGGGGCTACTATGAGAATGTAATCGCGTGGATTCAATGCATAATGGGAAGAGGCTGGTATGGCTCCTCCAGATACTTAACTTCATCTACAGTCAACTTGACATTCACAGAGCCTAAAAACATCGTCAGGTCCCAAGGAGAAAGCGTTGTACTCACCTATCAATTCCATGAGGTTCTTCGTCGAAGACGTTCCGATGATAGGTGCTGATACAGCTGTACCGACGCGCATAAGATAGTGACTGCGAACATCAAAACGCCACGTACCGTCTTTGCCACGCCAGTGCGATTTGACCCATCGGATGTTGCGTTTCGCCGCAATCTCTTCCACCCTAATGTCCACAGACGGCGATGAGGTTCAAGAGTACCATCGTAAGGAAAACATACCTCTTGATGATACCAAAGGTAGCAGGATTCTTGGAGTACGCGATCATAAATCTAGACATGTTGTTACCTCTTGCATGGAGCAGACCGCGCACAACCATTACCTATCCTGTTCGCCTTTTCTGTGTTCTGTTTATCCAAAGGACGTGTGAGCATTCCTCTCCCAAGCGCGGCGAATGGCATAGCTCCAACGCCAAAATGCTTTATCACACTCCGTTAACCCACTAGTGATTGCGAGTCCCATTGATCCAGGCTCACCTTGAGAGTGGGCATCATCTCCCTTTCCTCCTCCGGTACAGAGGTTGTACTGGTTTTGCGTCGAGATGAAGGGTGTTAGATTATGTTGGAGAGCTTAATCTGGAGGTTAGGAAATCGGTAAACAATCAGTAAATGATCCATGGCAGCGTACTCTGCATGATATGGACTGAAGGAACGAATCAGACTTGATATTACTGGATTAGAGCAAACAGAGGACATTACATTGCCAAGCATAACAACAGACTCCAACGTACTGACATATCCAGCTTTGACTACGTCGTGTAAGGCTTGCATCTGAACAAATTCAGATCAAGTAGAGCGAGTGAGGATCAAACCACCGTTTCAGCAATGGGAGTCTCAGAGTCGAATCTGTGCCTATAGTCGGTAATCAGTGAGATACTAAGTAGCCAGTCGAGGAAGCGTACATTGCAGGACATCGATATAGTCCAGTTGCAGCGTTCCAAGCTTTGTTTCACTGAATCAAAGATGTGCTAGGTAGATTGAGACTATGTAGTAGTAGGAGATGTAGATCAAGTCAAAACGGTACAATACCTTCCGGCTTAATCCGTGCTGATTGACACAACCGTCCTTGTCGCCGTCGAATCTATCATAGTAAGGTGGCGCATCGGCATCGCGTCGTACGACGAAAAACACCTGACAGTCGGAAGATCATTCCAGTCGCATGAAAATGAACACTACTCTTGAAGTACCTTGTCATAACCACAATTTCCTCGCGCGGCAGTGCGTGTTGTTTGATCGTCTTGCCAAGTACGACTTCGGAATAGCCATTCGAGTAGCTCTGCATACCAAGCGCGTAAGCCACATGAAAAATTCTGAGAGCCGTATGAACAGTCCTACGTTGGCCGTATCAAAGGTATTGATGCCAGCGTCGTAGGCCGCTTTGATTTGTCGTATACTCTCCTCTTCGTCCTTGAGGAGCCAAGGAAGCCATGTCCGCTTCCCACAAGTCATACATCCAAGAATGATCTTGGACCAATCCAGAGTTTCCGAGTGGAACTAGTGCGCATAAATACCAGTGGTTAGTGTCTTAAAGGGCGAAGAACAACTGTCGCACCGACCATATTGCATGATTATGGGAGATGGGAACGACGAAAGGAGGCCCCCTACCAATACATATAGCCCAAACATGTTTCGGTATATGCGCGTCTTTGCCGCGCATATACAAGACACTGCGAACCGCGTCGCTGGTGGCTGATGCATACATCGGACATTGATCGGACCAAGTCAGAGTTGCTGACGTCCAACAACTCTGACGTAAGCGTGGCGCCATTTTTAGCACCCTCGGGAAATTCACTGCGCCGTATGAGTTTGCCGTAGTCAATACACCTCTGAGATATATACCCGCACGTTGTTAAACCTGATAATGGGCTCGCTGCTGCGCCACATCACGTGCCGGTCGAAACCGTTACTAACGGTCACCTCACAGAGCAAAAGAAATGTAAACCACATACATAAGATGATGAGGATGGTATTAGAACCCATGCCCTTTCGGACCAGATAACCCTGTTGCTGGAAGCCAGCATCATCATGCATCCTCAGTCTGGCGCCTTAACCGCTCGGCCACCTCACCATGTAGCCCGCCCAGTTCAGACGGTTACAGACGGCTGAAGATATGTTTGGCACCACCTACCGCCTCATCTGATGAACTCTCGTCCTATAAAGCCATTGAGGGTGACAAGGACGCAAAGTTTGCGAAATACACTATTTCCCGATCTCTATTCAGATACGGGTCGATCGCCTAAACATCTTCACTCCATCATGCGAGATCTATCAGAACTAAATGGTCCTTGATTGTCTCAATATTCGAATCAGACATGCATACAGAGCTATCCGACAAATAGATTCTCTTCGGGAAGCGTAAAGAATCCATCCTCTGGATAATACTGATTAAACCACGCACTCAGCAACTTCAGCGGCTCGGAAGCATTTGCGCGCGGTATACTCGGAGGCGGGACGACAATATCCAAGTCGGCTATGAGCGCGAGAAAGGCGTCGCTATGTCAGAGATATTATTAATGGCTCCTGAAAACTAAAAAGAAGCATACCCGAAACGACCAGCTATCGGCCACCTGTTCGCGCTATGAGCAAAACAACGCTAATTTCTATATAGAGAGAAGCAAGTCTACCTCTCCTCGTGGTAACGCAGCGCAGCGTAAGCCTGCTTCAAGAGCTGAACATCTCCCTCGGTCTCTTCCCTTGGTTCGCCGGCGATGCGCGCGCGCCAAATATTGATGACAAGTATGATAGCAGAGTAATATACCTATCCGCAATCACTATCATTCGAGTCGCCAACAAATGTCGGAAGGACGTACAGGCGTAGACCCAACCCGCGCATTTCCTGTCATCTGGTACGCGATAGTCATATGACAGCACTCTCTCGCAACCGCGATGGCAATCATCAAAGATGAGGAACGCGACATCGTTCCGCAGAACGAAATGAATGGCCTATGCAGCTGGATCTGCGCCCAGTGATAGTTTGAGTATAAGATAACGGATTGCTTGAGGAAAACAGGGTTGGGTATCAACGAATCGGGATCCCATCGAACTAGTTCACAATTAGGAATGGCCTCAAGGGAATAACGCGAAGGAGACAAACGATGTTCAGGCATCGTATCGTGCCACACCCTCAAAAACGGCACCAAGTTGAGAATGTTCTTGCGATACACTTCTGGAAAGGTCAACTTGTTCATCTCGGAACGCTTAACTGGATACTAACATCACATTTTGAGCATCGGGCAGGTCGACGATAATGAAAGTTTCACGAACGAGGTTCCGGTGGATCAAAGTCATTATCTTCAACAGTTCCAAGAACTTTATCCAATACGACATGGCCGACGGCTTCCCTTCTGGCTGCTGAAATGGTTGCGGTCCTTCCCAATAATCGTAATCGCAGTCCAGAGGAAGCTCGACATCGTAACTACATGGTGCACCATTCAGCATAGGAACTCCAATGAACATACGACATACTCTTCATGAATCGTTGCTAGTGGCCTACCAGTAGCAAACGAGATAAACGCATCGGCTGCGAAGAGAGCCCAAAAAACGAGCTTCCACTCTTCGTCGTCAACGGTCCATTGCTCCTTGAGCCTTTGCCTGTGAGCGCCCCTGCTTTGCGCCATGCGCAGACCAAAACCAGGGAGACACCACGCAGCCTCTGGGTTGTTCGAGCCGTTAACGTACGTACAGCAGAGCTGCCAAAAATGATTTCAGTGATACCTACAGCAGAGGATGGGAAGGCCTACAAAATACATCTGGAGCGAACACAAAGTGGGTGTTCTAGCCATTGATGACGGCAGCGGGCGAATCTGTTGATACCACTGCCAGCCTACTGTCTCCTCATCTTGCCACGGAAGAAGCGCCCTACCGTCCAGACAATATCGTGCCCCGACTGCGCACACCGCCAACACAACGGCGCCGAATGCTCGATCCCGCAAATGCCTCCCGCTGCGAACAGACTGTTCAAACTTGGGACGGTACAGGAGAGGCGATATCGGGTCCTGCTCAGCAAAATACAGCGCGATCAGGTCATCCATGAGCTGAGGCTCAGGAAAGATATAGGGCAGAGGGTTCGAGACGTCGAACGGCGACTATGCCAAGTCAGTCATACGGTGGAGGCAATGATGTTAGAGACGAACTAATGGATCAGAGAATTTCCATATCTCGGACAAGAGCTGAGGCTCGCGGCCGCCAAAAGCCTTTTTGACCGCCACAGCCTCGTGTATGAGCATTGGCACGCTGCCTTTTCCGAAATACGTGCTGCGCTCAATGGAGTCGTGCAGTATGAGGTCTTGCATCTGGGCGGAGAGGTTGAGGACGTCAGTCTTGTCTCCAATGACCTTTGCTAGGTCGGAGTCGCCGTCGTCTTCATCGAGGTAGGGCTCCGGATTCTGGGACTCTAGATCTGAGAGCTGCTCTTCGAGCTTCCGGACTTCAGTTGCTAGATCGACGAGGAGCTGCCGCACGGCTGGGTCCGAAGGATCTGGCGTGTTCATGCCACCAGTCATAATAGACTTGATTTTCTTATCCAGGTTGACGGGTCGCTACCAAAGAATGAGGCGTCGGTTGTATTGACAATGTAGAAGAGTTACTTTGCTTGATTCCTTGACGACGCCCTTCTGAACTTGACTTTCTTGGTAATGAACAAATCTTGACCAGATTGAGTCAGAGTTGGGTTATAACACAGGAAACACGCTCACTCAAGGCCATGATTCTGTAAAACACGTCAATAAGAACATTCTCTTGATGGCCCGGGATAATGAAATACCTTTCTAGCATCAATAGCATTGTGGGTACAATCCTCTCCATACGTCGCGCAGTTGGTACATATATTGTTGGGCATCATCGCGCTATCGCCTAAGTTCTCGGATGAGTCAAATGGCGGCGTTACACGCAAGAACGTACATTTTATCTTTCGTTGCTTGCAATTGTCGCAGGAACCTCCTAAGCGCCGCTTTTTTGACGGCGCACTCGAGCTAGATCTGGAGCCCTTGGTAGAGGTACGGGCTTTGGGGGGCATAGCTGATCAACGCAGAAGCCTAGGTGCTGGAAGCATTCGCGTATTTTTATAGACGTGAGGTAAGCGCCGCGTGAACTCGATTGAGAGATTGAAGCGCAAATCATTTGAACATGACAATTCGAAAGAAACCCAATCAAGTCACGGGATCTTCAATTAGTCGCGCCCAAGCACCTCCCTGCAGGCTACACCAAGCTAAAGTGTGTTGAACGGAAGAGAGAGAGAAAGGGGAGGCATCATGTATAGCGCTAAAGCGGCAGATTCGGACTTTGTGAAGGGGCTTCGTGCCGTATATGGTATGCATATCCGACATTCCGAGCAAGTTTTGAATCTAGGTAAATTTGCCGGACAAACACGTATTCTAGGAAGGACAACGTATACCCATGGATCCGGGGACAGAGTTTGTATTCCGGGTCAATCGGAACTCAACCTCATAAGCACGGGCCTGGACAGATTTCAAAAAAAAGTGAGAGAAACCCGGTGCAGGTTGAAAATACCATCCACGAGACGACGAGAAGAAACGATAAGGTAAGCGTTGCATCGACTTACATTGAATTAGAAGGGATTCAAGAGTAGCCGGTCTGCGCCACAAATGTTCACGCTTCGTTTCTAATAGTCTTTGGTATTCCATTATTCGTAATGCCGTTACGATGACGCAGGATGTGGACTGCATTTACTTGAGACGGGGAGTACGGTGTCGACCATGAAAGATTTCCGCCTGACATCCAGAACATTACTGACTTCAAAAGCTTGGAACAGTGAACAGAAATCAAATATAAGTACAAGATACAGTCAATAATACAGCTACAGAAAACGAAACAGGAGGGCAATCACGACTCGGACTCGGAACCTGAAATACCAGACCGACGTCTTCGTAAAGGCGTGCTGGAGCTGGGACCTGGCATGGGAACACCATTATCATCCTCTGTCTCCGGCTTTACCTGCTGACAAGAGATAAGTATGAATGGCGACTTTCCGGTATACTTGCTCACAGATCTCCGGCTCGTGCTCCTACTGGCACGAGGGACTCGTCGGCGTCGTGGTGGCGCGTCCTCTTCAAGCTCTTCCTGTTTCATACCAGGACCCGACAAACGTTTGGGTTTAGCTGCAGGACCTTGGTCATCCAAAGACTCGTAACCTGTTTCTTGAGGTGGTCCCTCAGGTAACATAGTAGGCAAGATGCAGACCCCCATGACGGATAGCAACACAATCAAGAAGGCGAGGGAAGCCGCCGCGGACGACAAGACTGGGAAACGCATTACAAGGCCTCTGCAAAGTATGAGACTCAAAGCAAACACGTGTTATTGTCCGCTTGCCTTATGCCTTGTTGAACGACAACGCCATATAAGTACGCGTCAAAGACGGCAACCTCGCGCCCTTCACCGGATCCTAGGGTCTTCCAGCTATCTTGACGTCCAAGTTGTACGGTGGCCTCGATGTGAGAGCCGCTTGGGATGTATGATGGGAGAAGCAGGATGTCGATGGTTGTCGTTGAAGGCTTTACGCTAAATAATATTGAACGGGGAGGAATTACGATAGCCTGTATAGCAGTCAAAAAGCAGATATGACCAACTGCAATGAGACTCACAGGCCGACGGACAGACACAAGGGTCTTATTATTACTGGCGGATGCTAAACGTAGTGAGGCCATGAAATTGCCGAGTGCAACGTTGGTCTCTGTCGCCGGGACCGTCAAACGTATGGATATATCATAAGGCTGCTGTGTGGTGAGAGCCGGCAGGAAGGTCGACGCGTACGGAGATTGACCATCACTGAAACCACTGAAAATTCGTTGTCCAGCGTAAGAACAAGACTCGTACCCGTACTGGAGATACAACGGCATCTCCCATCCTACTGCCACATTCTTCCAAACAGCATATCCAGCCGCGACAGATAAAGAGAAGACGAGTGGAATGAGAAACGCGAAGACGGCAAGCGCAATTAGCTGCGGCGCGAACGGCCGGATGAGAGCAAGGCCTTTCGAGAGCAAATAGACTGGAATTGTCGTAAGCGCGGATCCCCGTGTATTAGACGCTTTTTGCGCCTTGCTTGGTCGC